CCCCCCCCACCACAAACACCACCACCACCCTCGTCCCCCTGGCCTCCATCACCCGCGAGGACTTCTCCGAGCTGGAGAACTTCTCCGAGATGATCAGCTTCAAGTCCATGGAGGACCTGGTGAACGAGTTCGACGAGAAGCTCAACGTGTGCTTCCACAACTACAACACCAAGACCGAGGGCCTGGCGCCCATCCGCAACCAGGGCCACAGCCAGGAGGAGGAGGAGCGGCTGCAGGACGAAGAGTGAGTGGGCCCCGTAGCCCAAAGTGTCTTTGGATTGTGTTGATTTTGGTTTATGACACTCAGGAGATTCATTACATGAAGCCCCATCAGCCTCAGCAGAATAGAACCAACAGGTCCATCAAATCGGGACAGTTTTGGCTTATAATTTCCCATTTTTTTAGTAACATTTCTGGCCAAAAGTACACTTTGGGATACTCTCAGTCTTTGGATTGTGTTGACTTGGGATAAAAACACTCATTCAAACATTCACTACATGAAGCCTCACCAGCATAGAACCAACAATTCCATAAAATCGGGCCAGTTTTGGCTCATAATTTCCCTTTTTTAAATCACATTTTCAGCCAAAAGTACACTTTGGGCTACTCACTGTCTGGGGATTGTGTTGACTTAGGATAAAAACACTCAGGAGATTCATTACATAAAGCCTCACCAGCATAGAACCAACAGATTTATCAAATCAGGCCAGTTTTGGCTCATAATTTAATTTAATCACATTTTGTCCTGCAGTTTTATGATTTTTCCATTCTCCAACACACCTGATTCCCATCAGGAAGTCTTTCCGAGCTTATAACCATGTTTTTAGTAGATCCGTTGATCCAGAATCAGGTGTGTAAAAACTGGAAAACGTCCAAAACTCCTGCAGGAAAGCGTCCCTCCAGGACCAGACGTTGGTTTCCACTGGGGGGCACAGAGGAGAAACATCATGGCCTTAGCTAAGCATCCACTCCATGTTTTTCTCCTACACGGGCGTTTCTAAAATGATCTGACCGGTGCTGACTCGTCTCTTTGTGCTGGCGGAGACAAATAGGAAATAAAATGGTGACTGTATGCTAGCTTTCTAGACAGACTCACCTTCAGGTTTTGGCACCACAGCACTCCTCTACATGCTACAGCTAATGAAGCCTAAGGGCAGCCCGGATAAACTCCCATATAAGTGATTAAAAGCCTATGAACCTCCATTAGGAGAAACACAGTGTGTTTCTGTAGCAGAGCAGATTTCATAGCTTCATAGCCAGGTTTTTCTGCGGAGGGAGGATGAGTTTTGGACGTTGTCATCATCAACTAGAGGCCTTTTTTGTGACCTGATGTCGGAGATACTTCCATTTTTTATTATTTTTGGGATTTGAACCTACTTAAAGCTACTGGTTCCAGCGTGTAATGCTCAAAGAATGTAAGATTTACTTTAAAATGTCACAGTTTTAAAGGGGAACTTCAATTAGGAGAGCTAAAAGAGCTAAAGATGCTAAAGCTCAAGCTAATAAAGCACCGCTTTAATCACAGGACCTTCATAGAAATAATTTCTACCCCCAAAGCTGCTGTCTGGACCACCAGAGGTATCGTCTTATGTATAACTCATTAACGTCAGTATCTCCATCTGTTAAAATGTAAACCTGAGTGTGTTTGGAAAGCAGGATGGCCTCGTTTGAAGCTGTGAGCTGTGACAATTAACTGTTAGCATTAATCCATTAAACTAACAACGATCACATTATGCCAGAAAATGTGTGATGGTACTCATCCGGTTTCTGTAATTCAGCTATATCCAATTTGATTAATAGAGCCAATAGTGTGTTTTCATGTCTAAAACCACATTATTGCTGTTAGCTGTTGGTAAAACTACAAATGTTTACGGGTTTACGAGTTAGAGGATATTTGCCATGTTGCTTTCATCGTTTGCAGGATGTTCTGCTTCATCCACTAATAACTCACACAGATTGTCAGTACAGAGTTTAGCCTGTGAATGTGAAGGACTCAGATTTATACTCCTTCTTCTGTCAGCCTTCATAATCTTCATGCGGTTTTTATGGCCGTTTATCTCTTTTGGAACAATCCATCCTGTGTTGTTGCGTGGTCTGACTCATTTGTTGTTTTGTCACCTCAGAGTTACACAAACTGAGCTATTAATAGAGAGCGAGGCGGCATCGATGAGCCCTGACGAGGTTTTTTTGCTGAGCACAGCCCCGATAGGCTGACCCCGGAGCCACCAGACCTCAGTGGACTGAGTGAGGACTCAGTTATGGAGGGTCGGTTAAAAAAAAAGGTTTTAATGAACAAAAAATGCACTCAAAAGGAGTGGAAACAAGACAAAAGTTCAAAACAAGGCAGACAAAACCGTGAACAAAGTATCAAATAAGTAAACAAGACTATGAGCAAAGTATTAAATCAAAATCTCTCGTGGCGGAGGCAAAAATAAAACTGTGAATAAAGTGCATAAATCAAAACTCTGTCTTATGAGGCGTGAACAAGACGAGGTACGAAAACACGAAAACACACTGGCCCAAGACAAAGTGAGATGAGGACTATTTAAACACTGTCCTTTATTTTTATTTCTACATTTTATTTCTTGCTTCTCATAGAGGTGTTGTGTTGTGGACCAAACACCAAGGCAAATTCCTTGTAAGTCTAAAAACCTACTTGGCAATAAACTTTATTCTGATTCTGATTCTGATTCTGATTCTGAAAAGGGAACCCCAGGTGTACACAATACATAATCAAGGAAGACATGATAAACACACCAGACATTCCCCCAGACCTGACAGACTGGATGGACTGCTTTAAGGTCCCGCTGTAATGTGGGAAATCCCGCTGTCGGGGGCTGATTCTCTGCATATTGTCCAGTTTGACACAGATTTTTTGCAGCATAAACATTTGGCACTTTAAAGAAGGCAGGTGTCTTTATATGAGGTCTGGTTGGTGGAAAAAACTTTTATTAGCCCTCATTCCCGACTGAGTTCAGTAGGTGAGAAAATACCGTTAACCCGATTTTTTAGTTGGAAACCTGAGAATAAACCAGAGTAGATCAAGCTTATAAACATGACATTTATATGGTCACAGTTAAGTGTATCAGCTGGGCTCTGACAGACTAAAACCTCTCTCTGGGTCTCAGTGGGCAAAGAGCCCTGAGATCTGGGTGATGGGCATTATCTCCTGGGCTCCATCCGCCTCCTCAAAGGAGGACTGGACACAACCAAGTCCTATTGGCCAGTTACCTCTGGGCAGGAACAGGCCAGGTCCTAATTCATGTAGGTGACAGTAATGTGGTAACAAAGTTTGTGTGTGTGTGTGTGTGTGTGTGTGTGTGTGTGTGTGTGTGTGTGT